AAACCGCTGCTTGTGTGTCAGGGGCGGGAGATTCATGTGATTGGTTGTTGGTCGAGCTTCAGACACGCCCAGCTCCAAGCTTTTTCCAAAGCCGCTGTGTGGACGGTCCGTTAGATCAGTCAGGACTCTGAAGCTGACTAACTCAAAGAACAAACTCTTATTTTTAAGAGTTTATCCTTGTTAATTACACAATATTGATTGGTTTAAATTGTGTACAATACTTTTGTGTTTTTAACCTTCGATTTAGAGAAACAAATAGTTTTTTCGGAATTTAGACACTACAGTTTCCGGAGACACTATACTACCCAGAATCCCCAGCTATCGTTTGGGACTACAACATCCGCCTTGCCTTACAAACCCCGTGATTAGTCATCAAGCTCTCTTACGACCACTAGAGGCGCTCTAGTGGTCGTGTAAGAAACGTTGGGTTACGTATTGTAACCCTTGTTATATTAGCACTAGGGATGCCAGAAACTGACCATGATCAAAATCGATTATTCGATTGCTGCTGGCTTCCTCCAAGTTTACAGTAAAACAAACTGGTGGTGTGACCAATGGCCATTTACAATTATTAATACTATTACTATTATTAGCATTAGTCTATATTTTGGTTGAAACTAAGCCGGAAAAAAAACTAAAAACATAAATAATAATAAAAATATATATAAATAAAATCGAATTTTTAAAATAATTTTCGATTATGGAGACTGTAACGAATAATCGAATAATCGCTGGCATCCCTAATTAGGGGATGCCGCCCTCCAGTAGAGGGCGGCATCTCTACTGGACTCTATGGGTACTACCCTCTATGCAAGCATTCACCTACTGAGACTTCTATAGACGTAGCCGGCCCCGGGGCGGGCCTACCTGAATCCGCGCGCATCTCACCGTATAAAAGCCTCCTGACTATCAACCTACACCTCTCTTCAGCGAGCGATATAGGACAGACAGTGCCCTGAGTAGAGGGCTCCGCCTGTGCTAATATAACAAGGGTTACAATACGTAACCCAACGTTATATCTCTCACAGGCTCCGCCCTCTACTGGACTCTATGGGTACAGTGGGTGGAGCCCTGATGTATACGCGCACTGTCGTCCAACAACATCATTCCACCCTACTGCCCCTGACCGGCTTTTCTGGTCAGCAGCTGCACTGCCCCACATTCTCCTTTAACCCGGTTGTGACCGTGGAGAAGTCTGGGCTGCGGCTGACAGAGCACACTCTGCTGCGCTTACCTCGCAGAAAGTGTGCTCAAAAAACAGTGCTGGAGAAAGAGCCAGACATGTCCAAGAGATAAAACTTTATGAAGGGGCCTGGCGTTGACCAAGACGCCGCTGTGCATATATCCTCCACACTCACACCGTCGAATAAGGCTGTCGACACAGCCACAGCCCGTGTGGAGTGCGCACAAATCCCCGTGGGGCAGGCTCTTCCTGCCTGTCCAGGCGATGAATGCTTGCATAGAGGGTAGTACCCATAGAGTCCAGTAGAGGGCGGAGCCTGTGAGAGATATAACAACATGCTCCCGTCCCGTTCATTGCAAACGCTCCGGAGGGACGTTTATTCACAAATAACCCTCTCTGGAAAATCCTAAATTGTGGAATAGTTTGGTCATTAAAATGCTTTTTGATTCGATTTCTAGCGAGAAGCGTGTATTGTACTCTTAGAATCCACGTCCAGTGGATGTGTAGGATCTATAGTTTGATAGATATTACGAAGATGATTTGAGGTCTTGTCAGGATAACGTGTATGCAGCTTCCATGTAAAGTTAGCGTGGGTGAAAACAGTTTTTCCGGTCTCGAAGTTTTCATAATAAAACCGGATATATTCCCCTCACTGTCAAATGATTACAGTGATATCTCCATTACTCATGCACTAAAAAACATCAGTTTATCCTTGTTAATTACACAATATTGATTGGTTTAAATTGTGTACAATGCTTTTGTGTTTTTAACCTTCGATTTAGAGAAACAAATAGTTTTTTCGGAATTTAGACACTACAGTTTCCGGAGACACTATACTACCCAGAATCCCCAGCTATCGTTTGGGACTACAACATCCGCCTTGCCTTACAAACCCCGTGATTAGTCATCAAGCTCTGTGATTGGATGTTGGATTGACAGTGCGACAAGGTTACGCTGAGCGTCACAGCTCTATGAAATGGAATGGAACCACTGCAGACTTTCCAAAAACTGGAATTGGTCGGGTCCAGCCCCCGGCTCCAGCCCCCGGGTCCAGCCCCCCCCCAAATTACACATGCTGGCTATTGTGTGTTTCGCAACATGTTCTACGGCACGTCTCTTTATAAGACGTTTTCGTATTTCCCACAATTAGAAGTTGCCAGTATTAAACTGTATACACCCTGGAGGTTTAGGGGATACGAAACACAGCGGTGTTATCACATTTAAAACATATCATTAATAAATGGGTGAATTAATAAACCCACATGCCAGCTAAGGTCAGAAGAGCTTTGTTTAACAGCTGGTCTTATGTCTGTGACCCCTCCTGTTGTTCATTGATAAGCATGAAACATGCACTTGTCAAGGTTCAGAGGCACATTGTGCAAAGATGGCAGTAGCCATCGATCATCTTAAGATAAGATAAGATATACTTTATTGATCCCAAGTTGGGAAATGTTTTTGTTACAGCAGCATACTACTTTGTTCTACTCCACTACAATTAGAGGTTAACCTGGTATTTTTACTCCACTACATTTATTTGAGTTACTTTGCAGATTGTGATTAATGATGTGAAATATAAACAACCCTTAAATCAGACTTTAGTTACACCTGAGTCAAATTCAGGGAAGGTGATTGTCAAGTGCCACAATAAACTATGCAATATATTAGACGTTAAGTACTTTGTCAGACTTCATATTTATCTGTTGATAACCCCAACGTTTTTTTCTTATTAAAAAGAAGACCTTAACTTAAAGTATTCTTTAATGTTTAAATAAAGCCTTATTAGTTGGTCTGTTTTGTTCCTCCTGTTAATATCTTTGGACGTCCTGCACTAAACTGTTTTATTGTAGAGATCACTACAGTATCTTCTTGATATTTTCTATTCTATATTTCTATCATGCCTTCTACTTTCCCCCAATGTTGTATGTAGGCTACTCTTAATATTTTAATGTTTTCATCAAATAAAACGTATTCAACAACAAAATGTAATAACGTGCTTTAACCACTAGGCGGCGCGGGTTCAAAAACCAGTGGTCTAGTTAATAAAACATAATAATATCAAACATAATATGACTATTAACTTTATTGTGAAATGAAAACAGAACGGTAAAGGAACATACAGTTTCAGTCTCTCGATGTGAAGCTTATGCTTTGTACCATGAACTTGTATAGACCTGTAACAGTCAACTGCTTGAGGAGTTGGAAAGGTAGTAAATAATATCTTTAAAAACTACAAAAAATCCCTTTATATCAGCTGTGCACCTTTATGGTGTAAATACAGACTATCTACTAATTGGATCAAATATAAAAGTCAGCCGAATTAGTGTTGATACTGCAAGGAGACGTATTGTGTGAAAAGAAATGTAAGATGTTGTTTAATGGCTGATATATTTATGATCCACGTCACGTATTCAGTTTTGGCGGCATCTCTTCCAGTTTGTCAAAAGATCTTCTCATCAGGGCTCTATAAATGTCTACGGCAGATATGTAATATTTAATGCAGCCGAACCGTGTATTACAAAGCCGTTATGTGATGACTTCCAAAGAGAAAAGCAAGCACACTCTGAATAAAGTATTATTTTATTTAAAAAAAATGTTTTTCAGATTTCATATCTTATAAACACCATATCCCAACATGCATTGCGGCTAAAACAATCGATGTTTTAGCCTGTCAAAACCTCTGAAAAAAGAAAGGTGTCTCTCAGAATCGAAAGAGAAAAACCTATGGGAAAAACACAAAAGCATTGGACACAATTTAAAACAATAAATGTCGTATAATTAACAATAAAGGATAAACTGATGTTTTTTAGTGGATGAGTTCTGCAGACATCACTGTTAAATCATTTGATCATTGGTTTTATTATGAAAACGTTGAGACCGGAAATACTGTTTTCAACCCGTAACTTTACATGGAGGCTGCCGCATACCTCAAATCATCTTCGTAATATCTATCAAACTATAGATCCTACGTATCGACTGGACGTGGATTCTAAAAGTACAATATACGCTTCTCGCTAGAAATCTAATCAAAAAGCGTTTTAATGCCAAACTATCCTACAGTTTAGGATTTTACAGAGAGGGTTATTTGTGAATGAACGACCATCTGTAACGTTTGCTTTCAACGGGAGCACTGGAGGCCGAACACTTTAAAACGTAATTATAGGACGTATTAAGCGCCTGAACAATCGGCCCATTTGGTCGTTTGAGTTGGAGGACTTGTTGAATTTATCACGTGTTTGAGACGTAAAGAGGAGCGTGGAGGCATTTTGGAAAATGATCAAGAATGATGAGAGACCTTCTGTCCTCAATATTAAACAAACTGACGGGTTATCTTCCATTAAAACAAACAATTGCACTGAAAGCTTTTGTTGAACAAAGATTTGTCACCTTAATTCTGCGGACGTTTAATTTACCAACTCGTATCAGAGTTAGGATTCAGTTTGTTGCCAATTAGGTTTTTCACATGTAAGGAATTTGCTTAGGTGGGAATACATTTAATTATATATCAGCTCATCTGCTGTGAGCAATGGTCCCGCCCCAATGCGCTGTGATTGGCTGGTGCTGGGCTTGTAATACTGTGCTGTGATTGGCTGGTGCTACTGTGCTGTGATTGGCTGTAACTCTGATTGGCTTGTAATAATGTGCTGTGATTGGCTGCTGTGCTGTAGGTTACAGTAGTGGACATGGCTCAGCACTACGTGACATGTTAACCCGTTACTTACCCGTTGGAAATCAACGATGAGCTGACAGGAACTAGACTCATTTGAATTTTAGATTTTTGTCTCATGATGCTCTGCTCTGGTTCATCGAGCTGTGCTTGATTTTTAGAACAATAACTCACTTTGTGCCTTTCATAATTCCAGGCTCCAGTTTCCATCCCACCTGAAAACACACCTGAATCTACAGACAGGTAATCAGGACCAAACACTACTTTCAAAATATTGATTTGTATTTAATATAATAATAATAATACATTTAATTTATATAGCGCTTTTCCAGACACACGCTTTACAAAAGTTACAATTAACAAACACAGTCATTCAGATTGGCGGACTTATGACATGGGGGGAGGACCGGAGTGACGTGGTCTCGGCGGTGGGTGGAGGTGAGCAGACGGGCGGGGGGGTTCTGGACGTAGAACCGTAGAGGATGCTATTACAGTACTCGAGTCTGGAGGTGATGAGGGCGAGGATGAGGGTTTCAGTAGCAGTAAAACAGTGTTCTTGAGTTGGAAAAAGGCAGTTTGGTGATCGGGTGAGATAACACAGAGGTTTCAGATCTGGGTGGAGGGGTCGACTTTGAGCTGTCAATGGTGAGTGAGAATCACTGGGCAGAACAGGTGAGGGAATCCAGGCCGATTCATGTTTGTGATTTATTGAGTTGGAGGAAGTTTTTTTTGCATCCATAGTTAATGGTCTGTAAGGCAGACGGAGAGGGTGGAGTGGGTGGTGGCTGTGATGAGAGGTAGAGTTGAGTGTCATCGGCGTAGCAGGGGAAATCGATGCCATGTTGGCGGAGGATATGACTGATGGGAAGGATGTACATGATAAAGAGGAGGGGGTCTCTGTGTAAGATGCTATACAGCAGTGGTTCTCAAACTTTTCCAGTCTCGACCCCTCAGAGTAAATTAAACTGTATCTGAAACATGTTGGATGATTCAATACAACATGTAGTCGTTTAGGCGATTCATGAGGAACTGGTACATGTATTGTATACTGTAAGTACATACATATTCATATTTTAGTTTAAGGGAACAAAAATCCACCTCGGGGTACGTTGAGGAATATAAATATCTCAGTTTTTCTTAAAGCAGAAGACAGGAAGTGATTCACAGAGCAGATGTTATCAGTAGCAGAGTCACTAAAGTTATAAGACCTCTGTATGAAGTGATTGTTTATTTTATCTTCCAGGTCCACGAGGGGAAACGTCCCATGGGAAAGATGCATTTTGCAGTGAAAATCAGATCAGAGCGTATTCCAAAACAACAAAGAAAACATGAACTGCTGAAACACTGCTGTTTTCTGCTGTATTAATTACAAGAGCTTAACGTGATAATAACATTTAAATATTGCAGCTCTGTTAAATGCATCCACTGTCATTTTAAAGTCATGAAATCATCTTCTATAAATCCTTATTTACACTTTACTAGCAGATTAACCCTTATGCCTCCCTCTGGCCTTTTTGCATTTTTTTCTCATCTCTTGAGTCCATTTTTTAAAATCCAATGTCTTTTATTCTTACATGTTTTTAAATCATATTATCATACATCAATATTTTATTCTGCTTTTTTTCATAAATCACTTAAAAACTTAAAACTTCCTCAAAACTAACAAACATTCAATCATTTTCAGGATTTGAACCCTTTACAGTAAATACCTTACACTATTTGAATGATTTAATTATTCATCTCAAAACATTAATTCTTTTCCATATAATAATTAGTAGGGGGCTTTGATATTCATTAGAGTCTTGAATATGTCCGAGATTAGCAGCAAAATTGATTTGATTGCATCAGTATTTTTTACGCAGTGTCAGATACTCCCTCTGGACTCCATCATGGTCAAAAATGCCTCATTGACTTCCATTAAAACCCATTGTTTTTCTTCTAACTGCTATTGCAGTGCAACACCATGCATTCTGTAAAGTCCGCATTTCATTTAGAAGAAAAGTAGTGATTATATTATGGAGCCGTGTGACTACCAGGGGCCCGAGAGGGGTGTGTGTATATCTGTGTATCTGTGTGTGTATCTGTACTTATGCACTGATAATTTCAGGGTTAAATAAAGGGTAACTTTTGAGGAATGTGTTTCATGTGTCTTTGAAGAGGTGCTAGCTAAAGTCGGCTGTAAGAAAAATATTTCCCAAATTGAGATCAATAAAGTATATCTTAGAGGAGCAGCAGAGCTCATAACATGAATAACACTGTACTGGGGCCTGTACTACGAAGCCGGTTCAACCTAACCTGGATATGTTTGAGTTAGCCGGTTGGCCTAATCCAAAACATACGCGCTCTCGCTAAGCGGTCCTACGACGCGGGTTATCAAGTGGATCGCTCAAGCCAGCCGTGTCCTATCTAGTTAGGCGTTCACATGAGAGGGGTGGTATCTGGAGCATTCGACCAATCACAGACATGGAGAAGCGTACTGACAGCGCAGCGTCATACTTCCTGAATGAAAAGTCAACTATATAATTAGACAAATATGAAGAAGTTAAACTTTAAACATCCATGACTTAAACACTTGATCCAGGATCAAAGCCACAGAGCTGCACCTGCAAGGTGAATACAGCTGGGAACAGAACAAGTGTTTGAATGCGTACATTAACAGGTTTATGATATCACTGCCCCGTCTAAAACACGATCTGACTTTCATTACATTTGTCTCGAGTGTTTCGTCAACTTAATGTGTTGCTTAAAATAATACTTCTGCATCCAGTCTGTGACGCTGTGAGTGTTGCACGGCCAGATAGCTGACTCAGATCAGGAGATATATGATACATTATGAAGTGATATGCCGCGGACTGTACTTAATGTTACTCTGATCCGGTTACTTATGTTGTGGCAGATATTTAAGTAAGCTTTCTTAACGCTAATGTTATAATAGTCAGATTGCTCTGAAGATGGAGGAGATATTCTATTCATGTTCACGTTCACACAGTCGGTGATTTTTGCCGGCCGTCTTTCCTGCAACGGCAGCTTTTCTGTATTTCCTTTCTCCTGTAATATGACTTGATCGCTTTAAACTCCGCACACTGAGCTCTGATTGGTCAGCAGACGTGGTGCTTTCGCTGAGTTGATCTCTTATCCTGGAACCTATCCTGCTTCGGATCACAGACTAGGTTCCAGGATAAGTCACCGTGGAGATCTAGCCCGCTAAAAAGTGAACCAGCTTCGTAGTACCGGAAATCCCAGAAGTGATCTTGCTAAACGAAAATCCTGCTTCGTAGTATACCCCCCTGGTCCCGACCAGGGGGGTATACTACGAATCTAATTCAACATATCCTGGATATGTTTTGAGTTAGCCGGTTGACTTAATCCAAAACAAAACCACTGTCCTACAACACTGGCTATCAACTCGTTCGCTCAAGCCAGCCGTGTCCTATCTAGTACATTATGATGTGATATATGATGTGATATGAATGATAATGGGACACATCGACGTCTGCACTCACAGTGCCGCGGACTGTAGGCAACGTAATGTTACTTTAATCCGGTTACTTATGTTGTGGCAGATATTTAATTAAGCTTTCTTAACATAATAGTATAATAGTTATAATAGTCAGATTGCTCTGAAGATGGAGGTGATGTTCTATTCATTTTCACGTTCACACAGTCGGTGATTTTGGCCGGCCGTCTTTCATGCAACGGCAGTTTAAACTGTATTTCCTCCGCACACTGAGCTCTGATTGGTCAGCAGGCGTGGTGCTTTCGCTGAGTTGATCTCTTATCCTGGAACCTATCCTGCTTCGGATCACAGACTAGGTTCCAGGATAAGTCACCATGGAGATCTAGCCCGCTAAAAAGTGAACCAGCTTCGTAGTACCGGAAATCCCAGAAGTTATCTTGCTAAACGAAAACCCTGCTTCGTAGTATACCCCCCAGGTTAGCCGCACAGCATAAGTTACCATGGAGATCTAGCCTGCTAAAAAGAGAACCAGCTTCGTAGGACCGGAAACCCCGAGTTTTCCCTGAAGTTAGCCGCTAAGCAAAAATCCTGCTTCGTAGTATTCTTTCACACACACATACGGGTATTGGGCCGAGGGCGACACCGTACTTCTGGTATCCGCCATTTCACACGAGGTGCAAGCAGAATATCATAGTCTATTGCCTTAATCAATATCTAGTCAACTCTAAAATACCACATAGGCCTATATGCAATGGCATGATAATATTATTGTGACAAGTGGGGTATTCACCTGGTGTTTCCAGAAATTAGACGTAGATGCAGCCAAAATCGACGAAGGCCACTTTCGAGGGTCGTTTTTCCATACATCTGCAGGCAGTCTGTAAGGGCAATCCGACAACCCACACAGCTCTAGTTTACGCTGGTAACGACCTAGAGCACACCCCTCAAGTCCAGAGATGTAATCCGAAGACATGCAGCGATTTCTTCGGTCGTTAATTCAGAAAAAAAAACTAGTGCGCTCTGCCTGGCCAGCTACGTTAGCTAGCTGTTTATATTTGCACCTCCAGGATATTTGCACCTCCAGGAAAATGGCATATTTATATATATATATATGGCGCGCGTTGCATTGTTGGTAGCTCGTGACGTCATTGTGTGTGAAAGAATACCCAGATCTTTCACTCCGGCTAACATTGGCCCTGCAGTAAAATAAAACACTGCTAATATACTGAGGACAGGTGTTTACTGAAGAGACAGGTGAGCTGGGCTGTGATTGGTTGTTCGTTGTCACCTGACAAGCGGTGAACACTGCTGCGTTCTGAAAGGTAAACTAACACACAGTTTATAGTGGGAAGATTTAACGGCTCAATTACCAGTAAAGCCATCATGGCTGTTTCCCTCAGTGTATTTCAATCAGGTAGCAATTCAGTAGCTTTTCCATTAAAAGAGGGAACAAGGACTAAACACTATTATATTAATATTAGTGCTGTCAAAATTATCGCGTTAACGGCGGTAATTAATTATTTGAATTAATTGCGTTAAAATATTTAACGCATGTAACGCATGTGCAGAATGGCCCGCCCCATACGTGCCACCAGTGGCAGCGCCAGGGTATGGCTGGGGTAGGCTACACCCATACCAAGAAATGGCTTAGCCCCACCATGAACAATGATGTTAAAGGAAGCAAAATAAAGTCTGCCAACTCGCGCGGAGTAAATTGCACAGATAGCAGTTAGTAAGATTGATTTCAGTATCCACGGTTTTGAAAACTTTTGTCACGTAGTGATCGTCTTCTCAATAGAACATCTTTGATAACGGCGTGGTGTTGTTGCAGGAAGTCCCGACGAAGAATACTTTTGCTGTAGTACAGGGGTGCACATAACTGGTACGCAGGTTATGTGCGTAATCTCTCTGAAATGCGTACCGTCACTTGTGTCACAAAGCGCATTTGCGTACCGACGTACTTGTGAAGCTTTTCCAGAAGGCGGTTAGATCACCGGACGACAGTCGGTCTCCGTGTGCACAGACAGGGCTGCTGTTAACGTCGGTCTGTACAACGGAATTGTGCCCAAACTACGCCAACCGGCTGCGGAGGGAGACTCCCCCCCTTCACTGGAGAACTGCGCTAAAACAGCCAAACACAACGTTCACACTCTGTGGTCACGAAGTACTCCACTAGCCGCCCCCCCCCCCCCCGTCGACTTTCCTGAAGTACTCCCCCGTTGATAGAAATCAACACGTAATGAATTAAGACCCCACGGTTTGATGATTGATAGGTGTGTGGGCTGTCTTTCATTTTGACACGCAGAAAAATGTTATAATAAACATAGATACTGTGTTAAATGGATATATCCGCCTTCTTTCATTTATCTTTCCATTCCCACAACAATATGCATAAATAAATGGCATATTTTGGACATAGTTCGAATGGTGGTTAATCATGATTAATTAATTTTTAAGCTGTGATTAATCTGATTAAAAATTGTAATCGTTTGACAGCCCTAATTAATATACTTAACAGTTCATATTAACATAATTTGTAGGCTATTATTTAAGCTCACGACAGGCCGTGGTATATGAAGTGAGCTATTGCTTTTATAAAACGGTTACCAAGTGTGACAATATGAAAGAAAAATACACACTCTAATTTAAATAGTTTGTATTAGTAAATAATGATGTTCAAAATAAAATAGTCCCTCGGTTGCCTTCTGCACGAAACAGTGCGAGGTGGTTGCTATGCAACAACACTATCAGCTAGCGAACATATTAGACAGAGAGCGTTGATCCATTATCTGGCTGTTTATTTACATGAATGTGTTTGTTGCCGTTTATTGTGCGCCCACTGAAAACCTGTCCAGCATCAGTAGAATGGCTTACGAGGTTACTTGTATAGGTTGAGGTTGTTCTAGGCTGTTGCTTTGCGTGACGAGAATATTGCATAAACATTTTTATTATTTAATTATATTTGTACCTGTATTTATTTATATTATTATATTACAGTTGTAATAGCCAACATGTCTTATGTCCTCCTCCGCAGCAGAGGGCACTAATGCTCTCCAGCTGCTGCAAAACACTCATCAGAAGAAGAAGCAGAGGCTCGGAGCTGCAGACTGGAGGAAGTTTAAGAAGCTTCTTATTTATTTAACCCATAAAGTAAAAACAACATGGCTTTAAGAGCTGCGTTAAGGAGCAGGAGCGGACTGACGGGTAAGTGTCTGAACATATAACAGTTACTGAATATCTAACATGACTCCTGCTGTTAGCTGTTAGCTCCAACTGGGACAAAGGTCACATCTCACTACGACTTTATCCTTCATTTGACCGTTAGGTTATAATGTATTGAGGATACATCGCAATATGGACTAGTGTCATATAAAGCAATGTTCGGTAAGATATCTGATACTTTGTGGAGCTGCAGAGAAGAGTCAGCCTAAGGACACTATTCTCCAGACTCTATAACATATACTACTTCTACCTTTTCCTATTGGCGTTATTTTTATATATTATTGTTTTTGGATCTCTGTTAACTCTAACGTGTGTGTGTGTGTGTGTGTGTGTGTGTGTGTGTGTGTGTGTGTGTGTGTGTGTGTGTGTGTGTGTGTGTGTGTGTGTGTGTGTGTGTGTGTGTGTGTGTGTGTGTGTGTGTGTGTGTGTGTGTGTGTGTGTGTGTGTGTGTGTGTGTGTGTGTGTGTGTGTGTGTGTGTGTGTGTGTGTGTGTGTGTGTGTGTGTGTGTGTGTGTGTGTGTGTGTGTGTGTGTGTGTGTGTGTGTGTGTGTGTTAGGTCTCCTCTCCCAGCGGTCCTCCTGCAGCAGTGATATCAGAATGTCTCCTCTCCTCGTCCCTCAGCAGAGAAACTACTCCACGCCTCCGAAGATCAGAGTGGAGTTCGACCAGAGCACAGGTAAACTTTTTAATATATCGTGTGTGTCAGGGTAAAATAAAAAAAGGCATCTTTTGAGGATCCTAATCTGCCGTTACATATTCCCTGTATTTTATTTGCGTGTGTGTGCGCAGGTGTGGCTGTGATGCACATGCAGAGTCCTCCGGTCAACAGCCTCAGTTTAGACTTCCTCACCGAGCTGTGCATCAGTGTGGAGAAGCTGGAGATGGATAAGAGCTGCCGAGGCCTCATCATCACCTCGGTACAGTGGGAAACATACTGTCTATAGACTTTGGATTATTGCAGAAAATAATCTCTGTGTCAAACAAACATTAATGATACTTACACGCTTCTTTTCTTTCAAAATAAAAGCCTATAGAGTAGCTGTATCCTAGCAGGAGTCAGGATGAGGCTTATTCTTTTCAAAATAAAAGCCCCATAGAAGAGTAACCGTATACCTACAAGAAGCTGAGTATGAGACATGTTTTTCAAAATAAAAGCCCCATGGAGTAGCTGTATCCTAGCAGGAATATACGGAAGAGGCACATTTTTCAAAAATTAAAGCCCCATAGAGAAGCTTTATCCAAGCAGGAATTGGGATCAGGCATGTTTTTTCAAAATAAAAGCCCCTTAGAGTAGTTGTAACCTAGCAGGAGTCAATGCAAGAGGCATGTTTTTCAAAATAAAGCCCCCATAGAGAAGCTTTTTCCTTTCAGGAAGCTCAGGAAGATGCTAGTTTTTCAAAATAAAAGCCCCATAGACTTACTATATCCTTACTGGGAGCTCACTAAGAAGCATGTTTTTCATAATAAAAGCCCCATAGAGTAACTGTATCCTTACAAGAAGCTCAGTAATATACATGTTTTTCAAAATAAAAGCCCTCATACAGTTTACAATGATAATTGACCCTGAGTGTGTGACTTCAGGCTCAGCCGAAGGTGTTCTCCGCCGGGCTGGACATCACGGAGATGTACGGGAAGAGTCCGGAACATTGTGGAGCGTTCTGGAGATCCGTTCAGGAGATGTGGCTGAAGCTCTACGGCTCCAACATGGTCACTATCGCTGCTATCAATGTAGGTACAGAACCCACTAACTTTAGATTTTATTAGATAAGAAAACAGCTGTGCACGTACATGACAACCCAAACAAAATAAACAATGCAATAGGCAAGGCAAGTCTATTTACACAGCACCTTTCAGCACACGGCAACCCTTTACAAAATAAAATAAAAGACATTTAAGAACAAATACAGTGGAAGCACAATATAAAAGGCATTTAAAGACAGGCATTTTAAAAAGCAAAGATAATGAAATAAACACGACAGGTATAAAATACATGGATAAAACTGCAGTGTGAATTTGAACAACTCATCTAAATGCTGCGTCAAAAAGATACGTTCTTCATCTTGATTTAGCAGCGGACCTGCAGGATTCAGGCAGTTTGTTCCAGATGGTCGGGGCATACAAACTAAATGCTGCTTCTCCATGTTTAGTTCTGACTCTTGTAGCAGAGAGTAGACCCGTCCCAGAAGACCTGAGACTCCTGGATGGTTCATATTTATGCAGGAGATCGTTCAGCAATAGTACTTTAAAATCAATTCTTTGGCCGACTGGAAGCCAGTGTAAAGACTTCAGAACCGGACTGATGTGATCCACTCTTTTAGTGTCTGTGAGGACACGAGCTATACAACTATAGATGCAAATACAGAGATAATATAAAATAAAAATGCAGTTTAGTCACGTTCTCATTTGTCAGAACGGTTCCTCTCAATCAGTCAGTATTCCTTGTCGCTGGTTTGAATCTTAAACGTTGACCATTTCTCCCATTTCTCTTCATATTGTGTTTCTTGCCGTCTCAGTCGATATGTCATTTCTTCCATTATATGCATTTCCTCCACGTTCTCCGTCCACGGTAGGAGGCTCCACCTTGACATCATCATCAGTTTAATAAAGGAACATGTGTCTCTCAGGGCTCCAGCCCGGCCGGAGGCTGTCTGATGGCCATGACGTGTGACTACAGGATAATGGCGGATAACCCTCGTTACAACATCGGCCTCAACGAGACGCAGCTGGGCATCGTGGCTCCTTTCTGGTGAGGAGGAATTATCAATTGTTGGAATTTCACAATTTCACTTTTTCTCTCTGTATCTGTGTTATTGTGTTCTCTGTTGGAGGAGCTCAGGACCTCAGATTTTCATCGTCATAACTACACTGTAGCTCTGTACACGTGACCAAAACAAACCTTGAACCAACATGTTCACAGATAGAGCTATTTTAAGAAAACTATAATAACATACATTTATTAAAATACATCAATATGAACGTGAGCATTCCTTTGCTAGAACAGTGATAATAAAACAGAGCTCCATAAGTCTGTGTGCTCAAAAAAAGAAATACATAATAAAATCCCTTTGCTAGAACAATAACTTCTACGCCACTTTGCAAAGAAAATGCTGATATTTGGTAAGTGTGTCCTATCACAGCATGAGTGGCTGCAATGACCTGTGTGGCTGCACATGTCTTCAGAACGGGGTCGCAGGCTCAGTGGCGGCGCCAGAGATTTATTTTGGGGGTGCTGTGGGGTAGCTTGACGTTTCATAGAGGTTGCTCAAACATGTAGGGTTTCCCATTAATGCACCGGGCGCTACAGAGGAATGTTCTACTGCAACACTCCCCACACACACACTCACACTCACACTCACACACACACACACACACACACACACACGATAGGGCTGCACGATTTTGGGGAAAAATCCAATTGCGATTTTTCTGACAGATATTGCGATTCGAATTGCGATATTTGTTTTTGAAGCGCCCCAACGGAAGTTTATTGTAAAATGCGACCATAACTCCGGCTAGGAAGGTCGTATCAACGTGCTCCCGTCTCTAGCGCCCCCGCAGCCCGAGCTACGAGTGAAATAACTAAACTTACATGAAACTTCCGTTGGGTTGCTTTAAAGTCGAGCTTCAGTTTAAGATTCACCCTGTGATAGAAACATGTGATGGAGCATCACTGACCTGACTCAGAAACCATCTAAAGCTCCATTGGAAGCCATCTGGAAAGGGCAGGCACTTTCAGAAGCACTTGGCAGGTGATTGGATCAATCTGTCTATCACCTTCTATCATGGGCTACTTCTGATTGATTAACAATGGCTGGTACATGTGGAGCACAGCGCTTCTGATTGGTGCGGAGGACTGACACACAAGAAGAAAATCAAAAAATTGTAAAAAGAAAAAATTGTAAAAAAAAAAAAAGATGTTAAAAAAAATCGCAGGCTTTGCGATTTGATAATCGCATCATTTCAAATCGCGATTTCGATTTAAAATCGATTAATCGTTCAGCCCTAGCACACACACACACACACACACACACACACACACACACACACACACACACACACACACAGTGTACCTGCGACTGTTACAATGAAGGCTGCATAATCAGCTCACGGCATATAGGCAGGGGGTAAAGTGCTGTTTTCTATGAGTGGGGAGTGGACCTCACCTCCTCTAGGTCCTCACCTCCTCTAGGGGGGTCCTCACCTCCTCTAGGGCGGTCCTCACCTCCTCTAGGGGGGTCCTCACCTCCTCTAGGGCGGTCCTCACCTCCTCTAGGGCGGTCCTCACCTCCTCTACGGGGGTCCTCACCTCCTCTAGGGGGGTCCTCACCTCCTCTAGGGCGGTCCGGGGGCAAGCTCCCCCGGGAGGATTTTTTTTTATTTATATTGAAGTTAAAAGCATCTATCTGCTGCACTTTGAGCGCAACATGGAGAGATCTATGGATACCTCTCTCAACACCTATGAAACAGAACTGTAAACAGATTTACTTTTTCTTTATGGATATTTTACAAATCACTCCCCTTTTAAACTTTATTCTTGTTTTAGTGCCATATAGTATTTCATACCTGTTTTTCATTTATTCTCTTATTTCTTTATAACTATAATGATCATATAAACGTGTGCCTCGGAAATAATTGTATACATTAATGGTGACCAAAACGTTTGAGACCCACTGAGATAACACTGAGAGTCCTTTAGTTCACTGAGTCTCTCAGTCTGACAGGAGAGGACTCTCCTCCAGCTTGTTGTTGAAAAAGCTCCTTATATCCGTTAGCGTAGCTAGCTAGCACCAGATGCTAACAACAACAATCTCCGGTACCGGTGCGCTCTCTCTCTCTCTCTCTCGCACACGCACACAAAATAGCTCGTGCCAAACACACACACAGAGCCCAGCTTGAATGAAACACAGAGACCCAGACGTACTTGTACTGTAGCATATTATTTTCTAATCAATCATTTTGCAAATTATGAATTTCACACATAAAAAATAAAAAAGACATACATTCCTGGGGGTGCTATGGCTATCCTGGGGGGAGCTGCAGCACCTCCTAGCGCCCCCTATTGACCTTCCATCCTCAACATGCACATTACACACCTGTGTCCTACAGCGCCCTCATAGGTTTCTAAGTGTAACTTCCGCCGGTCATGACAAGTTTTTCTCCTGGTCTCTCGCGCCCCCCTGTCATGCCTCTGCGCCCCCACTTTAAGAAACACTGTCTGATGATGATGATGTTGTATGCAGGTTTATGGACACCATGAAGAACACGGTGGGCCAGCGGACCACAGAGATGGCCCTTCAGCTGGGACTCCTCTACAAACCAGCTGATGCTCTGAAGATCGGACTGGTGGACCAGCTGGAGCCTGAAGACCAGGTCATCGCCGCGGCAACGCAGACCATCAGCAGGTGGCTGGCTATTCCAGGTGTGTTGGGATATTTAAATCAGCTTCCAGAGACCATAGGGACCATCACTCTCACTTTTTAAGAAAAGCCTCAAACCCTCCTGTTCCACACCGCATTTCACTGTCCTTTATTTTATTTATTTTTTATTCTAACCTTTTAAGCTCTTAACCTTTTTTATATTACCATATTTTATTCAATATGCTCCTTGGATAACTTTTCATTTTATTGTATTTTCTCCTCATAGCTAGAGGATGCATGATTTCAAAATAAAAGCTCCACAGAGTTACTTTATTGGAAGAGGTAGCTCAGAATTAGGCTTGTATTTCAAAATAAATGCACTACTTTATCCTTACACACAGGAAGCTAAGGGAGAGGCTTTTTTTCAAAATAAAAGCCCCATAGAGTAACTGAATCCTAAAAAGATTCTCGGGATGAGCCTTTTTTTCAAAATAAATTTCCTTTAGTTACTATATTTTTCCAGGTAGTTTGTGAAAGAGACATGTTTTCAAAATAAAAGACACAGGAAGTAACGACACAACTACAGGAAGCTCAGGATGAGGCATGGCTTTCAAAGTAAAAGCCCCAAAGAGTTACTCGCAGAGAGCTAAGAAAGAGGCATTTTTTTCAAAGTAAAAGCCCTAAAGAGTTACCTGATCCTTACAGGCAGCTAAGAAAGAGGCATGTTTTTCAAAATAAAAGACACAGGAAGTAATTACACAATTACAAGAAGCTAAGGATGAGGCATGGTTTTCAAAGTAAAAGCCTCACGTATTTGCAAAATAGCTTTTTTTCACAACATCTACTCAGTTCTGGCAATACTAGCATTAGGTAGTAATTCCCTACCAAGACACTAGTCATTATGTCTTGATCTGAGGATGATCTAACTCTTAATTTCCACATTTCACAGACCACGCCAGACAGATCACCAAATCCATGATGAGGAAGAAAACCATCGACAAGCTCACGTCCAACAGAGAGTCCGACATTAAATACTTTGTCAACTTCATCACCAAAGACTCCATCCAGAAGTCTCTCGGCGGGTACATGGAGATGCTGAAAAAGAGAAGAGCCTAGAGGAGAAGGGGAAATAATAACGTGTATACTTTCTTTAGGGTCGCGTTGGATATAAAAACACATCTGGCCTCATATTTGTATTGGTGTCAAGATAAGATCCTTGACTCGCTCGGCAGTTCGCCTTCATACCGGTTCGACCAATGGACGTACTCCTAATGATTGTATGACGAAGTACATTTACTCAAGTATTGTACTGAATGTGCAACATGTAGGTACTTGTACGTATTACTGTACATTCATTCATTTTGCAGTTGCTTTACAAAGATTTGCCTAAAAATAAGGGTTTATAAGATATGGTATTTTGTTATTAATTAAACTAGCAAACAATTTTACAAGAACGACTTCGTCAATTAATCAATTAGCCAATTAAGGGATAATTAATCAGCATCTATAAACATTAAGTCATTTTCTGTTTGATTAGGAATAGGGGTGTGTCGGTACATTTGGCCGTTAACACTAACAATGCATTACTTGTACCTGGAACAGATTATTTTGACAGTGTTGTTTTAGACCTCTCACTTCAGTAGTGGGTTACTTCTTCCACCACCGCTAATGATTCAGTGACAAATACATTCTCTTTCTACATTTCAAAGTACTTTGGTTGAAGTTACCCCTATCTTTGATCCAGCCGGAGTTAAAAACGCTATGTTTTGGAAATAGACTCAACATTAGTAAAACAAACTGTGAATGATTTTCTAGTTCTCCACCAAGTGCCTAGTGCCTTTTAAGAACCATAACAAATGGTGAGGAAGTAACCCTGGGACTTCTGTGAGATTTATGTACAACTAACAACACATGTGCTTTAGCCTGATAACATGTATGTATTCATGTCGTTAGAGAACTGTGGTGTGATTAAATAATGGATTGTCAAAATCGTTACTTCTTTAATTTGGCACTACTTTCTCGAAAAAAACCTTTAAAGAGTCCTCTCTTGCTGATGTTCAGGTGTATATCAGTATGTAGTGTCTCTACTTTAAAGAGTCCTCTCTTGCTGATGTTCAGGTGTATATCAGTATGTAGTGTCTCTACTTTAAAGAGTCCTCTCCTGCTGATGTTCAGGTGTATATCAGTATGTAATGTCTCTACTTTAAAGAGTCCTCTCCTGCTGATGTTCAGGTGTATATCAGTATGTAGTGTCTCTACTTTAAAGAGTCCTCTCCTGCTGATGTTCAGGTGTATATCAGTATGTAGTGTCTCTACTTTAAAGAGTCCTCTCCTGCTGATGTTCAGGTGTATATCAGTATGTAGTGTCTCTACTTTAAAGAGTCCTCTCCTGCTGATGTCCAGGTGTATATCAGTATGTAGTGTCTCTACTTTAAAGAGTCCTCTCCTGCTGATGTTCAGGTGTATGTCAGTATGTAGTGTCTCTACTTTAAAGAGTCCTCTCCTGCTGATGTTCAGGTGTATATCAGTATGTAGTGTCTCTACTTTAAAGAGTCCTCTCCTGCTGATGTTCAGGTGTATATCAGTATGTAGTGTCTCTACTTTAAAGAGTCCTCTCCTGCTGATGTCCAGGTGTATATCAGTATGTAGTGTCTCTACTTTAAAGAGTCCTCTCCTGCTGATGTTCAGGTGTATATCAGTGTGTAGTGTCTCTACTTTAAAGAGTCCTCTCCTGCTGATGTTCAGGTGTATATCAGTATGTAGTGTCTCTACTTTAAAGAGTCCTCTCCTGCTGATGTTCAGGTGTATATCAGTATGTAGTGTCTCTACTTTAAAGAGTCCTCTCCTGCTGATGTTCAGGTGTATGTCAGTATGTAGTGTCTCTACTTTAAAGAGTCCTCTCCTGCTGATGTTCAGGTGTATATCAGTATGTAGTGTCTCTACTTTAAAGAGTCCTCTCCTGCTGCTGTTCAGGTGTATATCAGTATGTAGTGTCTCTACTTTAAAGAGTCCTCTCCTGCTGAATATCAGTATGTAGTGTCTCTGCTTTAAAGAGTCCTCTCCTGCTGATGTTCAGGTGTATATCAGTATGTAGTGTCTCTACTTTAAAGAGTCCTCTCCTGCTGATGTTCAGGTGTATATCAGTATGTAATGTCTCTACTTTAAAGAGTCCTCTCCTGCTGATGTTCAGGTGTATATCAGTATGTAGTGTCTCTACTTTAAAGAGTCCTCTCCTGCTGATGTTCAGGTGTATATCAGTATGTAGTGTCTCTACTTTAAAGAGTCCTCTCCTGCTGATGTTCAGGTGTATATCAGTATGTAGTGTCTCTACTTTAAAGAGTCCTCTCCTGCTGATGTTCAGGTGTATGTCAGTATGTAGTGTCTCTACTTTAAAGAGTCCTCTCCTGCTGATGTTCAGGTGTATATCAGTATGTAGTGTCTCTACTTTAAAGAGTCCTCTCCTGCTGATGTTCAGGTGTATATCAGTATGTAGTGTCTCTACTTTAAAGAGTCCTCTCCTGCTGATGTCCAGGTGTATATCAGTATGTAGTGTCTCTACTTTAAAGAGTCCTCTCCTGCTGATGTTCAGGTGTATATCAGTGTGTAGTGTCTCTACTTTAAAGAGTCCTCTCCTGCTGATGTTCAGGTGTATATCAGTATGTAGTGTCTCTACTTTAAAGAGTCCTCTCCTGCTGATGTTCAGGTGTATGTCAGTATGTAGTGTCTCTACTTTAAAGAGTCCTCTCCTGCTGAATATCAGTATGTAGTGTCTCTACTTTAAAGAGTCCTCTCCTGCTGATGTTCAGGTGTATATCAGTATGTAGTGTCTCTACTTTAAAGAGTCCTCTCCTGCTGATGTTCAGGTGTATATCAGTATGTAATGTCTCTACTTTAAAGAGTCCTCTCCTGCTGATGTTCAGGTGTATATCAGTATGTAGTGTCTCTACTTTAAAGAGTCCTCTCCTGCTGATGTTCAGGTGTATATCAGTATGTAGTGTCTCTACTTTAAAGAGTCCTCTCCTGCTGATGTTCAGGTGTATATCAGTATGTAGTGTCTCTACTTTAAAGAGTCCTCTCCTGCTGATGTTCAGGTGTATGTCAGTATGTAGTGTCTCTACTTTAAAGAGTCCTCTCCTGCTGATGTTCAGGTGTATATCAGTATGTAGTGTCTCTACTTTAAAGAGTCCTCTCCTGCTGATGTTCAGGTGTATATCAGTATGTAGTGTCTCTACTTTAAAGAGTCCTCTCCTGCTGATGTCCAGGTGTATATCAGTATGTAGTGTCTCTACTTTAAAGAGTCGTCTCCTGCTGATGTTCAGGTGTATGTCAGTATGTAGTGTCTCTACTTTAAAGAGTCCTCTCCTGCTGATGTTCAGGTGTATATCAGTATGTAGTGTCTCTACTTTAAAGAGTCCTCTCCTGCTGCTGTTCAGGTGTATATCAGTATGTAGTGTCTCTACTTTAAAGAGTCCTCTCCTGCTGAATATCAGTATGTAGTGTCTCTACTTTAAAGAGTCCTCTCCTGCTGATGTTCAGGTGTATATCAGTATGTAGTGTCTCTACTTTAAAGAGTCCTCTCCTGCTGATGTTCAGGTGTATATCAGTATGTAGTGTCTCTACTTTAAAGAGTCCTCTCCTGCTGATGTTCAGGTGTGTATCAGTATGTAGTGTCTCTACTTTAAAGAGTCCTCTCCTGCTGATGTTCAGGTGTATATCAGTATGTAGTGTCTCTACTTTAAAGAGTCCTCTCCTGCTGATGTTCAGGTGTGTATCAGTATGTAGTGTCTCTACTTTAAAGAGTCCTCTCCTGCTGATGTTCAGGTGTATATCAGTATGTAGTGTCTCTACTTTAAAGAGTCCTCTCCTGCTGATGTTCAGGTGTATATCAGTATGTAGTGTCTCTACTTTAAAGAGTCCTCTCCTGCTGATGTTCAGGTGTATATCAGTATGTAGTGTCTCTACTTTAAAGAGTCCTCTCCTGCTGATGTTCAGATGTATGTCAGTATGTAGTGTCTCTACTTTAAAGAGTCCTCTCCTGCTGATGTTCAGGTGTATATCAGTATGTAGTGTCTCTACTTTAAAGAGTCCTCTCCTGCTGATGTTCAGGTGTATATCAGTATGTAGTGTCTCTACTTTAAAGAGTCCTCTCCTGCTGATGTCCAGGTGTATATCAGTATGTAGTGTCTCTACTTTAAAGAGTCCTCTCCTGCTGATGTTCAGGTGTATATCAGTGTGTAGTGTCTCTACTTTAAAGAGTCCTCTCCTGCTGATGTTCAGGTGTATATCAGTATGTAGTGTCTCTACTTTAAAGAGTCCTCTCCTGCTGATGTTCAGGTGTATGTCAGTATGTAGTGTCTCTACTTTAAAGAGTCCTCTCCTGCTGATGTTCAGGTGTATATCAGTATGTAGTGTATCTACTTTAAAGAGTCCTCTCCTGCTGCTGTTCAGGTGTATATCAGTATGTAGTGTCTCTACTTTAAAGAGTCCTCTCCTGCTGAATATCAGTATGTAGTGTCTCTACTTTAAAGAGTCCTCTCCTGCTGATGTTCAGGTGTATATCAGTATGTAGTGTCTCTACTTTAAAGAGTCCTCTCCTGCTGATGTTCAGGTGTATATCAGTATGTAGTGTCTCTACTTTAAAGAGTCCTCTCCTGCTGATGTTCAGGTGTATATCAGTATGTAGTGTCTCTACTTTAAAGAGTCCTCTCCTGCTGATGTTCAGGTGTATATCAGTATGTAGTGTCTCTACTTTAAAGAGTCCTCTCCTGCTGATGTTCAGGTGTATATCAGTATGTAGTGTCTCTACTTTAAAGAGTCCTCTCCTGCTGATGTTCAGGTGTGTATCAGTATGTAGTGTCTCTACTTTAAAGAGTCCTCTCCTGCTGATGTTCAGGTGTATATCAGTATGTAGTGTCTCTACTTTAAAGAGTCCTCTCCTGCTGATGTTCAGGTGTGTATCAGTATGTAGTGTCTCTACTTTAAAGAGTCCTCTCCTGCTGATGTTCAGGTGTATATCAGTATGTAGTGTCTCTACTTTAAAGAGTCCTCTCCTGCTGATGTTCAGGTGTATATCAGCATGTAGTGTCTCTACTTTAAAGAGTCCTCTCCTGCTGATGTTCAGGTGTATATCAGTATGTAGTGTCTCTACTTTAAAGAGTCCTCTCCTGCTGATGTTCAGGTGTATATCAGTATTAGTGTCTCTACTTTAAAGAGTCCTCTCCTGCTGATGTTCAGGTGTATATCAGTATGTAGTGTCTCTACTTTAAAGAGTCCTCTCCTGCTGATGTTCAGGTGTATATCAGTATGTAGTGTCTCTACTTTAAAGAGTCCTCTCCTGCTGATGTTCAGGTGTATGTCAGTATGTAGTGTCTCTACTTTAAAGAGTCCTCTCCTGCTGATGTTCAGGTGTATATCAGTATGTAGTGTCTCTACTTTAAAGAGTCCTCTCCTGCTGATGTTCAGGTGTATATCAGTATGTAGTGTCTCTACTTTAAAGAGTCCTCTCCTGCTGATGTTCAGGTGTATATCAGTATGTAGTGTCTCTACTTTAAAGAGTCCTCTCCTGCTGATGTTCAGGTGTATATCAGTATGTAGTGTCTCTACTTTAAAGAGTCCTCTCCTGCTGATGTTCAGGTGTATATCAGTATTTAGTGTCTCTGATCGGTTTGCTCGCCGGCTCTGTTGTGATTGGTCAACCGATTAGAGATGGCCCGCCCCTCAGCCTACAATGTGTTTGAGCGCTAGCCAATAGAAGCGCCTATATACCTTTTTAAAAACCTTTTACACAAGACAATAAGAGACTTTTTCCAGATCCAAGAAGACACGTTTTCATTGAAATAATCAGCAAATGTGTTTATTTTTGGTAAATTCAAAGATTATTAGAGTATTAGAAATAGTATTAGAAATTAGAGTAATCCTAATTAAAATTCCTCCTGGAAATATTTGAAGCGGTTATTGGGTCTCAGGACAGCTGCACCTCGAGGACAGCT